TCTTCCGTCTGGAGGAGAATAATATTTCGTAATATCTTAACAAAAGTTCTCTCGGGGCGCCTCGTTTTCAGTTGGACAAGTTCAGGAGCATAGTAGAGGGAATGTGGGAGGCAGTGGCCAATGATGACTGCAGGGTCAATTCCGGGAAATCGTGGACTGGAGACGGAGAATGCCAGAAAATCTACGGACAGTTCAAGCAAATCCCTGCCGAACTTCGTGGAATTTGCTCAACTGCGATCAAGGCTCAGTGTTTTGGCGTACCCTGCCAGGCAAATCCCCCCACTCTGCAAACAGCTTGCTCCTTCTATGTCCCGACATATTTATGGCGCTGGCAAAATCGGGAAAGTCGGAATAGTAGGGAGGTCGAGGGAGCTTTCATCCCCTTGCAGGACTGCGTTCGCGACATGAACAAGCAGCTTGCTGAACAATTAAAGCTCAATCAGGCGCAAGATCCGGCGTGCTGAGGAAAAACGCCAGATGAACCTTCAGGCGTTGCCAAATTTGATTTGATAAAACACTAATTTCCTAGTAAACTTATGTATATTATCCTTCCAATTATTCAGATGATTTTGTTCGCAATATTACCTGAAGTTCCTAAAAATTTCAAGGAAAAATATTCATACAACATTCCGCAAAAATAATCATTTTATCGAAGGAAATTTTGCAACTCTCGAATGTTCCTACGACGTTCTTCCTTAGCACGGCAGTATTTCTTTCAAACGGAACCAGAGACAGGTGGGGAAGAAGGGGTTTGCTCGCTATGCGAGAGCCGTAAAAATGAACGGGAACTATAAAGCGCCAGTGACGTCAGTGGGTACAAGAATCGTCGACGCAAGTCGATCGGAAATCGAAAACGCAATTCAATCGACATAGATTCGACCGACACTCTTTCTATCGACAATTTTTTCATCGACATACGTTCCATCGAACTATTTTTTATCGACATAATTTTTATCGACGTACTTTTAATCGACGTATATTCGATCGACATAGATTCGATCGACATTGTTTCGTTCGAAAATTTAAATTTAAAATCTTTAATCTATGGTTCCGTTTGGCTGAAATACGCCCAAAAAAATTTTTTTAATATGTTTCTGAAACCTAACTCGTATATGTTCCTTTAAAACGAGGGGGGGGAGGGGGCGCAATATATAAGCCACGACTTAAAAACGTTTAGGAAATAAGTTATTGTATGGGGACCCAACGGCATTCGACAGTGGAACTGTCGGAATGATTCGCACAGTTCTGCCGTGCTGAGGTAGAACGCCGTATGAACATTCGCGAGTTGCTAAATTTCCCTGGATAAAATGTTTATTTTTGAGGAAAGTTATGAATATTTGTCCTCGAAATTTTGAGGGAGTTCAGGTGAAATTGAGAATAAAATTATCTAAGAAATTGGCGGGAAAATATTCAACCACTTTCCTGACAATTGGTGATTTGCCAGAGGAAATTTGCCAACGCCTGAAGGCTCATACGGCGTTTTTCTTTAGCACAGCTCTGTTGCAGCATAAGCGGATCCAAGAATTCGCCCGAAAAAATGAGGAAAAAGAAAGGAAGAACGGAGGAAAGAAGAAGGAAGGAAGGAAGGATGCAATTATTTATTTGGCAATTATTCAGGACAAAATTGACCAAAACTGTACATTGGATGCTTTGAAATTCCGAAAATTTTCCCTATTTCGAAGTGCCTAAATCCGCCTACATGTTGCACGCTTCACACTTCTGTCATCCTTTATTTTTTGACTGGGAAAAAACTCAACGTTATATCCTAAAAATTTCCGCGATTTTTCTGCCAATATGCGAAGATATTTTTTTTTTCCATCGTTATTTTGTAAGTTGCAAGCGGTAGCGTTGATGTATTTCCTTTTGATAACATGAATGGATGTGAGCCTGTATTCTGTAGTTCTCTTCATATTTTAAGGTTTTGCTTGCGTCTGCAGTAGGAGCTACGTCTGGATGATCCAAAATTGGATTATCCAGACAGACGTCGAATAATGAAATATTTTACTATCCTATCGCCAACTCTGTATCTTTTTTCTAATGTAAAAATACCCATAAGTAGAACTAGACATATTCCTATACAATATCATATTATTAAGACATTATTTTTAGTCCAACTTACGAGCCTTAATTTAGAAATTAAGTAAATAACATTCGCCTACCTAGGATCGATCATTTCTGCAATATCGAAGTCTCATCTTCATATCTAATATCTTTAGGACTGAAAGAGAGTCACTTTTTGAGTCCGAAACACCCAACTCAGCGATGTGCTGAGCAAGATTTGTAGCCCGACTATTTGTGCCTAAGATATATCTCTGTAGTGTAAACGTGAAGACTGAAAAGCGCTCTGTCATTTCGGATCCTCGCGATAAAGCCGGCCGTCGCGTCGCGCCGCGCCGCGCGCTGCGAGTAAAGCGGTGAGTTCCTAAAGATTCAAAACGCCTTCAATTTTGTGCGTATGCAACATGGACATCCGTAGAGCCCGAATAGTTGCATCCGGCGTTATAATGGAATTCGTTCAATATTCGCCGCTTGCGACACCAACTAAGGGCGCAAGGCGCTATGCTTGTTTCTTTTACACCTCAAATTAATTTCGTCGTTGCTGTGCTGATTAAGTAAACTATTACTGACTTTTATCGCGGCTTTATCAATTTTTCGGAAAATGCGATGGTTGTTTAAATGTATCACAACATTACCGGTCCTCGAAATCGAAAAAATGTAGGTATCTAAAAAATATTTTTAGAGTTTCCTACAACCTGTATTAACGAGTCGTCCTATGTTTGGAATGTTCTACCTCTTGAAACAATTATTTTGTCGTTAAAGTGCAACATTTTCAAAGAGCAATCCTCTGCAAAGCCGGCATACAGTTTTCCGCATGAAATATTAGTTAAAGCTTCAGCAGAAACAGTATATATGTTTCTTCTTAAGTTTTCCTTTATTCAGGGATCTGCATTTTTGGTGTATTTACGTTATTTGGAAACTTTCCTGGTATTCTTCCTCATGTGAGGAATATTCAATGTAGTTCTCAAGTTATAGCGACTTGGTTTCTTCTCCTGTGATGATATGAAATTGGAGCGGAGATTTTGAAACATCATACATGTAATTGAGATACGATTTCCCGCAGTCGGACCATCGATAAGTAAGTCATGTGAGGGAAACCAAATGTTCGATTCGTGAAATATTGTATATTTCTTTTCTTTTGCTTTTTATTTGTAATCCACTTTAAAATAAATCAGATAAAAATACTTGTGTCTGTATTATTTTGAAACAAAGTTGAGGGGAAACTGCAGTTTTAAAACATCAAAATCGAGGTACGGATTATTTTGTTATCAATTAAGTTTAGCTCACAAGTGAGGCCAATGAGTGACAAAGTTATCCATTCTCACCCACTTGTCTGCACTTACTTGTAAGGGCACTTATGTGCGATATCATTGCGAATAATAAACACTTCAATTCTGGACTCGGTACTTATATTTTAACATTACTTGCCTCCGTGCTATTCCCCTAAGAAGAAACAAACATTTAAATAATCAACGTGTCCATCTCCTCCTCTGTCTGGAGGAGTTTAAAATGTAAGTGTGCCTTGAACCAGATGAATGTTGGATGATTAGATGAATTAATTAAGCAAATAAGTCTGGTCCTCTTGAAATGAGTGCCAAAGAAAATACAAATCGTTACTCTTCAGTGTTAGAGCACTTGAGAGGTTTTTCAACACTCAAAAAGAATCTGAATAGGTCACGTTTTCGCCATCACCCCAGAATGATGTACTCTCTCACAGATATCTAAACATTACATGAGGCCGTGATCTCGAAAGAATCGCGCGATTTTTGATTATTTGGTTTCATAACTCACGCAATATCTCCACTTTGCGCATAAGTAGATCTTTAGCGGGTCGACTCATCAATTTCTGTTGTTCTTGGAGGGTACCTTCAATTTTTTCGACAATTTAACTTTCAGATGAATATTTTACTTCATGAAGGAAAAGTTTGCACTGTTAATTCACACAATTTTGCGCAACTTCTTTTCGTCTTGTGCCCAGGGTTATTAGTGGAGCTTTCCAAACGTCGCTGATACCAAGAACATAATAGCGATGCCCTCAGGGGGGAAAAATGTTTACTTAAGAAAATAAATTCTTTCTGAGGTGCTTGAAGATTTCTGCTCAATATTAACTTTCTTAAGTTTAGTCGATTCATTCATTTTTCATGAGAGAGAGGGGTGGGAGGGACAGAACGAGTATTAAAGTATGAAATCCCGCAGAGTCGAACCATGCGGTTAAGACGAAATCCCGCTTGAGTCGAAAATTTCTTCGGTTCTTACACACCGTCACGCTCAATCAAACAAACAAGCAAACAAACAAACAAACAAACAAACAAACAAACAAACAAAAAATCCAATTAAGATAAATTCGTGACTCTTGTCGCGGACAAGTTGCTTAAAGCAGAGAAATATTTCCAGAAAACTCGACAAAAATTCGATTTTATTTGTGAAAAAGCCAAAAAAAGGAGCGATTATGAATGAAAAACAAGTTACAAAAAAAGGTTTATGATAAAGTTCAGAGGTAAGAACTTCAAAATCTGTGACGTTTGGGGTATCCTTCGATCATAATTTGTCGAAAGTAAAGCGATGAAATTTGAAAATTCACTAAAAAATTGTTTAATTTAATTGAATCTTCTGTACGTGTTTTTTTCCACCTATTGATTCCATTTGATGCATGCATAAAATAAACGGCGAATTTCGTTTTAAAAGACTTGAGCCGCTCAATTTACTATGCTTGAGGCAAGCCGATAAATTTTTGGTGATTTTAAAATTATTTAAAAACCCTTCTCCGAAAAGAAAACTAACCCTTGGGATCTTTGTGAAAATTGCATTACATATTCGGGTTTCCTCTTCCTCTTGTCCACATTTTCATGAGATGCTAATTGAGATCAGTACTTTTAAGTCATTCCCGAATCGTTTTATTTGCTTTCATAATTGATAACCACTTAAACCCAAGTACCACTTACCGTCTGACAGCGGTGAAAGAAAATGATATTGCACGCTGGCGCCACCGGCTGAATTTCCAATTATTGTTACACTCTGTGGGTTTCCACCAAATGCAGCCACATTCTTTTGGATCCATTTCAATGCTGCCACCTGTGAAGTATTCAGTCATTACTTTCACAATTCGGTCCTCATCCTCAAGCTGCTTATTAAAATTTTGATAAGCAGAGGGATTTAAATTTGTGCATCTTGATGAAGGAAGTAAAAAATTCATTCTGAGGGATTATCGCGAGTTGTTTAGTCTTTATTCTGAGACCGAGTTCCTCCACTGGATAGGAGGATTTAAGGAAACCCATAGAAGACATCAAGTGAAAATTGGTCCCTTTTCATGTTGAGATAAACATGAAGGCCGCATGAATTCACCTTGACTTTCATTACGGAGAATAATTATGGCAGATGATTTACAAGAGACCCCTGGTCATAAAAAAATCCGGTTCTTTTTTATGAATCCAACCTAAATCATTACCAATACTATTAAAAAATAGATTGAGACTGACCTGATCTTTAAGACCGTTGTTTCCAGAAACCACATCATCCCCCGTTGATAGAAAACCTAAAAGAAAAAAAGAAGGAAAAAAAACGGGTTTTTATATGAAAATTATGAGACAGAGCTCTATATTCTTCGCTATTTAAATATTTTTCAAGATCAAAAGAAGCGAATTTTTGCGAGTGTAGGGATGGACGAATATCGAATTAGAATGCGAGTATTTGAATATTCGAAACCTTTCGAATGCGATTATTGCGATTATTTGAGAATTCGAATCTTGCGATTGCGATAGTTCGGAAGCGAATATTCGAATATTTCCGATTATTGCATCTATTTTTGATTTTTAATGAACCGTGAGAGATAAAATGGCACTTTTGACACTTTGGAATGCGATTATTCGAATATTCGAATTTGCGGTTTCGAATACTTTGGAAGCGAATATTCGAATGTGATGCGATTATCTCGGTGCCGATAGTTCGAGTATCGAATATTCGAATATCTAAATATTCTACCATCCCTAGCGAGTGGATTTGATCGAATTTTTCAACCAGATTGGCAGAGTTTGCAAACCAATGGAGGAAAATGTTCTGCTGAAGTCATAAATAAATTCAGTTGCTCGGTTTTTGGCCGACGTTTGCATCCAGCTACTTTTCAACCCACTTAGGAGTCGAGAATTTAGGATGTGGTCGTCACTGCTGCCAGCACGAAAACCAAATTAGGCGCACCGTCGCCCATAGGGAATTTCCTTTTGTTGTAACGGAGGTTGACGTAAGTAAAAAATTTCAACCAAATTCAGTGGCGAAAATTCAACTGATGCCGCAATCACACGCTAAATGTGGCTTGAATGTGGAAGTCATCGGCCCGATGCCTGAATTCAACAATTCAACGGCAAAATTCAACGCAACCATCGGACTAATGTTGGAATTGTCTGAACTATTCGAGGAGATTTGATACATATGTATGAAAATGACTCGAATTTGCTAAAGAGCCGTATGCAAAAACGACATTTTTCGCCCCCCCACTAAAACTTATTCAAACTTCGTCTATCAGTTACTAATACTAGAGCGCTTCTTTCCCCAAATTTTCAGACCCCCAAAAAATTTTGGGGGGGCGCTAGGGGGGGTGGAAGTCAAAACCTGTGACCCTCGATATCTTTCGAACGAAACAAGATATTGAGGCCCGGTTTGGACGAAAAATCGTCTAAAATTGCGTACTTTAAGATCCTAAAGGTCAAAATCCCAAAATTAAATTTTTAACTTAACTTATGTGCTTTTTTTCAGTTTTTGAGGAAAAACAATTTCTTTTAAACAGATTAAACTGAAATTTCACATTTTTTGATTTGAACCAAAACCAGTTTTTGAAATTGTTCGTCTTTTTCCGCATCCAACGAGTGGTCGTATAAGCTGGGGAACCGAACGGTTCCGGAGTTATGATCGATTGAAGTTTCCGCTCAACGCGCGCCGACCGATTTTCGCGCGCAAAAAAGTCGGATTTGACTGTTATTAAATCAGCTTTAATGTTCAAACCGAGCAAAATGCATTATTAGGGACTCTTGAGGGTCGCTGAGTCCAGAAATTACAGATACTTCCAAAAAATTCACGTTTTTAAAATTACAGCTCCGTAGCGCTCTTTTAGAGGCCCACTGAGCGCCGACCGGCCGCTCAGTGGTCCTGTACGGAGCTGTAATTTTAAAAACGTGAATTTTTTGGAAGTATCTGTAATTTCTGGACTCAGCGACCCTCAAGAGTCCCTAATAATGCATTTTGCTCGGTTTGAACATTAAAGCTGATTTAATAACAGTCAAATCCGACTTTTTTGCGCGCGAAAATCGGTCGGCGCGCGTTGAGCGGAAACTTCAATCGATCATAACTCCGGAACCGTTCGGTTCCCCAGCTTATACGACCACTCGTTGGATGCGGAAAAAGACGAACAATTTCAAAAACTGGTTTTGGTTCAAATCAAAAAATGTGAAATTTCAGTTTAATCTGTTTAAAAGAAATTGTTTTTCCTCAAAAACTGAAAAAAAGCACATAAGTTAAGTTAAAAATTTAATTTTGGGATTTTGACCTTTAGGATCTTAAAGTACGCAATTTTAGACGATTTTTCGTCCAAACCGGGCCTCAATATCTTGTTTCATTCGAAAGATATCGAGGGTCACAGGTTTTGACTTCCACCCCCCCCTAGCGCCCCCCCAAAATTTTTTGGGGGTCTGAAAATTTGGGGAAAGAAGCGCTCTAGTATTAGTAACTGATAGACGAAGTTTGAATAAGTTTTAGTGGGGGGGCGAAAAATGTCGTTTTTGCATACGGCTCTTTCAGCCGTTGGGCGATGACTGTTGACTTCCACATTCAGCTGCTAAATTCAGCGTAATTTTGCGGCATAAGAATACGTCTAAATCTTGGTGAGAAGCGCAATGTTGTCACATCGGTCAATAAAATCAGTAGCACTATTACCAAGTAGCAATGTTATGTTGACTTTATTTCCGTTCAAACGCCCGATTGCAATATTGCCATGCAGGAAATTTGGCAGCAATTTCTTTCTTTTTTCTTTTTTTTTTGTTTGTTTTTGATATTTGCCAGTAAAACACCACGAGAAGAGTTAATTCTTAATATGCTACGCATACAACTTAAAGTCCTACGATGATAGCGGTGATAAGGTTTGCAAAATATTCGTAATATTTGTATTACTGGCAAACGTTTTGCGCTATTAATTGTGGGAGCAGTGTCAACAATATTACCAGTAACATTACCCTGCAATATTCCAAATTACAAAGAACTACAAATGAATTGAACTTTTACCTGCGATTAACTTTTTCTAACAATATCGCATACTGATACAAAAAGTAACTTTCGGTCAACAATTTCAAGCGCAATATTGCTCCTTCTTTATCAATATGGTAGTAAAGTTGCTACAATACTACTTTGCCTCGTAAGAATGGAATAGGAAGAGAAATTCTCTTGCAGTGGAGGATCTCTTACTTTTCTGTTCCGCGTTAAAGTCGCCGCTTAGCCTTATGAGTAAGCGTGTGTTGATTCAGATTATTACAATTCAGCAGATGGATAAAGGGAATAATTCTCAGCATTCGAAACGTCACGTTGCTAAGACTGTGCGACTCTTTGAGAGTATTTTTTGGCTCAAAAATTGAAATTATGACAAAAATGGAGACGAATTTGCGAATGAAAAAATCATTACACAGGGAGGCATTTGGATGATAAAAGTCGCAAAATACGTACGTGCCTCGATCGCAACACACAGTGCAAGGGGCCAGTGAGGGAGGTTAGACTGGAATTTTTGACTAAAATTGCAAAATTTTGAAACTTATTTGTTCGGTCATATTCTAAATTTTAAGGGGTGCTTTTTGGAGATCGGTTCGTTAGAATCCAATGAAAATATTTTTGAACCTCTACGCTCCGCAATGTCAACGAAGGAATAAGCTTAGGATAAGAGGTTGGACTGGAACTTTTGACTAAAATTGCAAAATTTTGATACCTATTTGTTTGGGCATATTCTAAATCTTCGGGTGTGCTTTTTGAAGATCAGTTAATTAAAAACCAATGAAACCATTGTAGATCCTCTGCGTTCCATGATGTTAACAAAGGAATAAGCTTAGGATAAGAGGTTGGACTGGAATTTTTGACTAAAATTGCAAAATTTTGATGCCTGTTTGTTTCGTCATAATCGAAATTTCAAGGGGTGCTTTTTGAAGATCAGTTAATGAGAAACCAATGAAACCATTTTTGATCCTCTGCGTTCCGTAATGTTAACGAAGGAATAAGCTTAGGATAAGAGGTTGGACTGGAACTTTTGGCTAGAATTGCAAACTTTTGATACCTATTTGTTTGGTCATATTCTAAATTTTAAGGTGTGCTTTTTGAAGATCGGTTAGTTAGAAACCAACGAAATCATGTTTGAACCTCTACGTTCCGCAATATCAACGAAAGAATAAGCTTTTAAAGTTTCACAATTTCACATCATGCACGTCCGACTTCTCCCAATTACTCGCTTCACTGAACGACGTTCAAAAATCCCTGCTAACATTTCAATTTCCTTCTTTTAAAACTAATGAACGTTTTTGTCCGAGATTTTCACAGAATTGTCCTCCCGAAAAGGGAACTAATCTGTAAAAATTCCAGCATATGCAATGTTTGTTGCTTTCCTCGTGAAAGAATGAGGTGTGACAAAAAAATTTTAACGAGATACCCAAGTAGCAGTGATCGCGATAAATAGCGATTTTATCGGTTGGTTATCGCGATTATATCGGTTGCAATATATCGAGGTATTATCGCATGAAAAATTGCGATATATGGCGATTAAATCGCTACGCATCGCAATTTTTGGTTCGATCAAATCGCGATCAATTTTCGTCGATCAAGTCGAGATTAAATCGCCATTTATCGCGAGTTTTGTCTCGAAAATATCGCGATGAATTGCCGGGCGATAAAATCGCGATTTTATTCCGATAAGATCAAAGATAATCGCTGAGATGTTGATGATCCTGGCGATTTTATCGCCAAATCGCAACATATAGCGATTTTTCCGTTTAGAAATACTACTTGGGTACGTGTTTTGTGACTTTTACCATAGATTCAGATTCAAATAGTGCACAGAGAGACATTTCAACACAAAAGTTTCATTACTACAGAAAAAGAAACACAAAATAACTGTAGCATTTGGTTGACAAGAAAAAATGGCAATTTCTCGAAGGAATGTTATGAAAGACGAGTGGTAAATATCAACGTCGTAATCGAACGTCGCAATCGGACGTCGCAATTTTCCCAGTCTCTCCATTGTTTTCCGCTCTACATTATAAGTGAAAACTGTACCACAATCAACACAAAATTGGTCTTTATTTGTGTGTTACTTCCTATATTAACCAGAAGTAAAACAAGAACACAAATATTTTTATCATTGTTGGAAAAGGCGGCCTATGGTGGCGTTCAGAGTATTTTGAAGTTGCACTGCTAAATTTAACGACATTTTTCAATATGGGACTACAATTTTGGGCTCATTTTAGAAACAACGTAAGTGCCGTCAGTTTCTCTATGCAGATAGGTGCTTTTACGGATGGGTCAAAAATTTTAGTTCCCTATTGCAAAATGACGTCCAATTGTTGGTGCCGCTCCGCCCGCACGGTCTAATTAAAAGGTAAACTGCGAAAAAAAATTCAATCATATTATGAACCGGACACTCTGTCGCATCCATGCAACGCTCTAAGTTTTTCAGCCATCCTTTTCTTACCCATTTCTTCGATCTCTCTCTTAAATTCTCAGTTTTCAACTTTTCAGGCCTTAAGCCGCTTTTTACATCCTATCAGAACAACCATCTAATTCATCTAATTAATCTAATCAGTGTAACGACAAGCTGATGCAATGCGGACCGATTCTTGCTCATGCTCATCCACGCCTCGTAAGGGCTGAAGAGATTAATGTTCACTTACTTCGATTCCTACCACCTCAGCGAAAGCTTCGGCTACATACTCTGCGCTCAATCAAGTCATAAGTCAAATTATTATCTTGTTAGTAGTTCCTGAATACAGCGTCCAGTTTTCCAACAAGTTCAATTCATCTATTTTCATCTTTACCTAAATTCTGCTCTCCCACAATTTATTATTTTTCGTGCGCGTAAAGTTGAGCTCTTAGACGTTTTCAGTCCGTTTAACACTCAGTCCCAACCCCTAACGTGACACACTCGGTGTTCCATATCAGTGGCGTGGCGTGAATTGCGATACATCGATTGTTATGCCGTTTAAACCTATGGAAAAGGATCGATAAACAGGGTGTTCGCAGAGAACACCTTAATAATCGATTCTTCACCATAGGTTTAAATGATATAACAATCGATACGTCGAAATTCACGCCATACCATTGTTCCATATCGATCGAACTTTCCGGTTTGTCAAAGAAAAACTTCGGTTCGTGAGATGAAACTCTTCGATTGGACCGAACTGAAGAAAGAAGTTCGATCTGACGAACCGAATGTTCGATCCTACGAACTGCTCGGGTGGACCGAATAGTTCGACCAACGTAAAGCACTGAACATTCGTCTTTTACGATAGAACTTTTTTTTTCAGTGTGGGTAGTGTTATAGTTTCAAATTATTAGAAGTTTCTCATTGAAATTCATAAAATATACGGCATCTCAGACAAAATGATCGGCTCCAGGGATAATCAAGCTTACCTAAAGGCCCAAGTCGGTAATTCAGCGTAATGAAGACTATATCGTCGGCGTCCGAATCAAGAAGATAGGCCGGACCGTAAATATTTGATGAACCGAACATGAAGGCACCTCCATGAATGAACACAATTACGTCCAAGGATGGATTTGTATTCGATGCCGGTAGCTAAAATCAGTTGATGAAGATGTGTGAATAAGTAAAACTCAGCTTCTGTGAATATAATTTACTCACCTCAGCTTTTTTACTATGAATCTATGTCACCCAATGGCTTCTTTTTCCATTTCCTTGTTTGAACTCTTTCTTATAGATGAAAAACTTTCGTTTCCTTGATAGGTTTAGTCCAGGCGCCTGGTAGCTGAAAATGAGGCTACCTGGAATTTTGGGTACACAGCGATTTTTTTGGCTTACTATATGTTTTTTGGGTTGCTGAATCCGAATCTGAAGTTTCCTACCGCGTATCTGGTGAGCATTTTCCGCCATTTTGAAAAAATGGCCTAAAAAGGCCTTTTTTTGCGGTTTTTTTTTATATAGCGGCTATGCATGAGAAAAAGTCCCGGATTTAGTTAATGTTTTGAATAGCTGACATAATTTGGAAGAAAATGGTATATAGATATGCTAGGTTTGGTCAAAAATTGAGGAAGATGCAGCATCGTGAACATCGCGCCCATTCACGTTTTCGCGGCGCACCCGTTAACGCGTGATCCGGCTCGCCGCGGTCAGCCAAGTTCCGAAGCGTCCCATAGATCCGAGATCCAAGGTTCCTCAATTTTTGACCAAACCTAGCATATCTATATACCATTTTCTTCCAAATTATGTCAGCTATTCAAAACATTAACAAAATCCGGGACTTTTTCTCATGCGTAGCCGCTATATCAAAAAACCGCAAAAAAAGGCCTTTTTAGGCCATTTTTTCAAAATGGCGGAAAATGCTCACCAGATACGCGGTAGGAAACTTCAGATTCAGATTCAGCGACCCAAAAAACATAAAGTAAGCCAAAAAAATCGCGGTGTACCCAAAATTCCAGGTAGACTTACTAGGCGCCTGGACTAGTTTGAGTCAAAGACAAGATAGTCAAGATAGGTTTGTGAGTTCAAACTGAGTATTGAGGATTGCATATCGAGTCATAATGAACGTCCAATGGCAAAGCTCGTTTAAAAAAAAAATAAAAAGTAATTTTGGAAAACGACTTTGAAATTTGTAGGCAAAAAAACTCGTACAAAAAGTCAACATGAATCAGAGTTTAAAAACTTTAAAAAAAAAATAATCGTGAAAAAGAGCATAGAAGAAGAGAAATAAGGAAGAAGTATTTTTGATTTACTGCGAAGTCATAGGTTTCGCTGAACTGGCAATTTTGAGACAGTAAGTAAACCATATTTCATTATTTTCTCGAAGGTGAATCTCAGAATACAAGTAATCGATTTTTGTTGTTCAAACTGTCCGAGTATACCCCGTTTTTATTGACGAAGCACGAACTGAAATTTTCTATCACTGACTAAAATTTCGGAGCATACTCGTCTTGATAGGGCAAGAGACGCCCCCTCGAAACACCATAGGATTGACAAAAAATTGCTTTAACTATTTATGCAAAGCTTTTTGCCTCATTGATAGAGCAAATCTATCCCTCTAAAAATATTTTACCTTCGTTGTGTAGACGTTCAAGTGGAGACAGTCTTCAGCACCGACGGTGGCATACGTCCCGTGATCATAGGCGTAACATTTCGATCCACGCGTAGAAGCATTCCACACTCCGATCCATGGTTTCACCGGCTGAGGCTCCTGTTCAAACGTCAATTATCAGTTATAAAAAATCCAGCAATGTCCTTTCGGAAAAACATAACTGACAAATCAGTACAGAACGGTAAGTTTGACAAACTGAGAGTCACGTGGGGAACCTATTCCATCAGTTTGGTGAATGACTCCGGCGCTGTTTCACGCCACACCCGAGGACACAGGCTCGGACTGGCCATAAGGCCAATCTGCCATCGGCAGATACGCCCCCTTTCCGTGCCGAAAACGCGCCCCTCTTAAAGATAGCAAAATAAGAAGAAAAAACAAGCAGAAAAATCCAACATGAATATGTTGGAAAAGCGTGCCGAATAACTAAAATGTTGGACACATACCTACTATTTTCACGTCTTTGTTATTTGCATCAATTGGTACTTTTTGCTAAATTTGGGAGAAAATATTGATTCATGAACGTTGAATGTAAATTGATTTTAAAGGTTCCGTCCAATTATCTTGATTTTAAGCTGATATGCGGCATTTCGCACGACCGTGATTTGAGCGAACTGCCATGCATCGAAATCGCGTTGAGTTAATCTCTTTGGATTTCGAACTGTAACTTCTCTCCTATTCGGCCAATTTTTACAAATGAGGTCTCTTTTTATTTGTACTTTAACGGAAAGTATTAAGGAAAAACTCGCTAAATAGACGGAAAACAATTTTTGTGAAAATTTGGTGGATCCTGGCGTCACGGTGAATGGTTAATCGGGCGTGGAAGATAATAAGTTCGACGAGGCGACCCTCTCCTCGCCGTCTTTTATTGCCTTGCTCGAAACCTGACACCCAAAGCTATATCGGGAGATAACTGCAGTGGTTTGAGTGGATTTCTGCAGGGGCCACGGTTAGTACATGGTATAAAGAGTCACGAGGCTCATTACAGATTGCACTTGCAGTGCAAGACACTCATTGGCTAAACAGTTTTGGCGGGAAAGAAGGTTCTAGAGTTGAGTCCTCCGAGCGTAAGAAAGCTTCAATGAGGTTTTTTTCAAATGAAATAATACGGTTTTGACAGGAAAATGTTCTCAAGGGTTCATAATCAGCAGTTCATTCGGTTTTTTGGTAAGAGACCATCAGGGCTTGACTGTATAATGGTTCAAAGACAAGAAAACGGGTCCGAGGAAAAAAATATTTGGACGGCCCGTTGAATAGCATTAGTTGATCGGTGTGCTGTACAATGGTACATCCGAGTGATTTCAAAAAGCGAGCCCTACTGGCACGCTTAAAATTACGAACGAGAATATGTGAGAAACATTTCTTAAATAAACGGAAGAGGAGAGAGTTAGGAGTAAAGAAAGGTGCTTTAACGCATGACAGTGGTGAACAGAAGTCCAAGAACTACTTTCTAAAGCGTAAACAATTTTCTGTGAAAATTTCACCTTCTTCTTGACATACAGGTGCTTTATCATCCCCCTCCTTCATTCGCTATGTGTAACTCCCTTAGAAGCGATGGTAGGTTCGATTTTTAGACATGCGCATCCTTTATAGACCTCTTAAGAGACCTTTAAACATATTTCTTCCTTTCCAAATGACTGTTGATTTGGACACGCCATAGCATAGCTCGGGCAAACTTAACCTTAATTTGTCTCGAAATTCAAAAGTAAGAGACATTTAAAATGTAAACGAGATACAACTATTCGCGCAAGATGAATGTCCACATTGCATATGAAAAATGCAAGACGCGATGCCGTGAGTCGTGAACTCGCAATGCTCTGCTCTAGTTTGAAGCACCATTACGAATAAGACGAACGGAAACAAACACAATATGATAATAAAGCGAGGGAAAGGATGCGCGTTAACGACGGCGCAGAGATACAACTATTCGTACTTGATAGACGTCCGTGCTGCATCTGAAAAATTGAAGGCGCGATGACGCGAACCGTGAGCTCTCAATGCTGTGCTTTACTTTCAATTTTGCAATTTTTACTCCGTGCGATCAATAAACTTTGAACCTGAAAATAGCGTAAACTTGTACTGATTTTCCAAAATTTTCCGAACCCCTCTCCACGTAGGGAATGCCCTACCAGGAAATATCACATTACGCTCCTTTGAACAGCCAAGGGTCCACGCCCTCAGATGTGAGCCAGTCCGACTCTGCGAGGACAACGCCTTGAATGCCTTGATGTAACTATTCCCTGCTCTATAGATGAGCATGTTGCATTCTCAAAAAATGAATGCGTTTCAGCTTTCCTGATCCCCACGGTGGTAGAGATACCCGCTGCACGCTATCTCCGGCGAGCGGGCCGATTATTGAAATTGATAGACAAAGGTATAGACAAAGAAGACAAAAGGGATTAGGAGGGATCCTATTGGAGGAAGCGGATGGTTGCAATGGACAAAGGAGGAAAGGAAAAGACCAACTAACGGCAACCCACGAGAGACCCTTTAGTTAGTCCATAATTTACCCCCTTAGTCTATAGGAACCGCCTATTTTAACCGATGGGATCGCTCCATACTCCCTATGTCTCCTTGTCTACAGCTTTGTCCGTCAATTTATCGGGCCGCAGTTGGACGAAAACGACGTAATTGCGTTACTCGATCCTTTTCCACGTCACATGACGATCCGCTAATAATGCTGCCGTGGTGAGGAAGAACGCCGTAAGAACATTCAGGCGTTGCCAAATTGCCTGCAATAAAACACGAATTTCCTAGTAGACTTATGAACATTTTCCTTCCAATTTTTCAGACAATTTTGTTCGCAATTTCACCTAAAGTCTCTGAAAATGTCAAGGAGAAATATTCATATCTTTTTTCAAAAATAAGCATTCTATTGCAGGAAATTTAGCAACTCTCGAATGTTCATACGGCGTTCTTCCTTCGCAAGGCAGGATAGCTCTTTTCTTCCCCTACATTCTGAAGTACCAATACCGTCATTTTGTACCTATTCTTAGTATACGGCTCTGGCGATTGTTAAGAGCCGTCCATGCAAAAGAGGGGGGGGGGAGTGACATATAGGTGACTAAGGGAGAGAAAGGGGTCAAAAAGTCGGGGTACTTGGGTGACGGCCGCCCTCAAGAGGTTTGAAGTTTTAATCCTCTATAAGTCTCAATGCCAATGACAACGATTAAATCGATTATTTTCACTTTCAATATATTTTTTTCAGACTTTTCATTGTTGACAGGAGAAAATTTACGACTACTAATTCAAAACAATTCCCAACTCGTGCAACCCCCCCCCCCCCCCCNATTTCACTTGGTGAGTTCCTCTTGAATTCAGTCCAAGCAATGCTGAAATTAACTCCTCTAGCACTGTTAAACATTTCGGAGTGAAATTCTGTGGGGGTCTACGTAGCAACGAAAAACCCCGAGTGAAATGAATGCGGAGCTGAATCTATTCCCCTACGGAATGATTCACATTATTACGGAGCGCAATCTGCTCTTTTTGTGGAGTGTCATACGCTTTTACGGTGCTGCATTCACTTCGTATTCATGATATGACTCGGAGTTTTGGGGTACTATAATATATACTCCGGCACCGAATTTTACTCTTCGATTTTTGACAGTGTTGGGTTCGGTATCGCCACCTAATCCCCAAGACCCACTCTGCCGTGTTAAGGAAAGATGCCGCATGAAACTTCGTTGGTTGCCAAATTTCATTTCATTTCATTAAATACGAATTTTCAAGGAAATTTGTGTATATTTTCCATTCAATTTTTCAGAGAGTTTTCTCCGTAATTACATCTAAACTATCTACACATATTTCAAGAGACAATATTCCTAACTCCCCCCAAAACTAAAAATTTCATAGGAGGAAATTTGACAACTCTCAGATGTTCATACGGCAATCTTCTTCAGCATGGCAACATTCTGCACTGAAAAGAAAATTCCGGTCATGGAAGCCGTACTTACGGGCTATACGGACATACCATCGGCGTTCCGGGCTCAGAGACCGAAAATTCCGGGCATAGTACCCGGAGCAGGCGAGGCTACGACTCAAGTAGGTACCCGGAACTTTGGGCCTCCGAGCCTGAAAAGGACAGTATGTCTATATAGCCGGTAACTTCTTTTTGAGTGTGCCTTATCTGATACTTGTGAAGGTTCATACCTTGAATCTGAGCTTGCCGATGGGTGGTGCCGCGTAGGGTATGCCCTGAAAAGCGTAGAAAGGGCGTCCATTCCATGAGAGGGCCTCCGCACCTGCTATTTCCCCGTCCGCTATTTTGACCACGGGTGACAGTGCGCTGGACCGAAGCTCAAAAACGGCACTTGCCAAAACATAGATTACTACTGCACCTAACATTTCGGGCCGTTTGAATCACTCCAACTTCGCAAAGATTTGTTTTTTCGGTCCTCGATCCTAATTTTCGGATACTTCCGCACTGTTGTGAAAAATATATTACAACTTTGAGTCGTTAATAGGTGGACTAAATAATGATTTCAGCTATCCTCTCTCGATTAACATGTCGGTAAAACAGACTGGCTCCCGCCCAACTATTAAAAATAATAATTCAAACAGCTGTGGACATTTGAACAGCGGTCATTAGATATTGTCAGAACGGAAGCACCGTAATACATGTTTTCTCATACAAATTTCTCGTGAGATACGTTGAATAAATTGAAAATGTCAAAAATCAACTCATGGAAGATAATTAAATACCGTTTGTGGTTCTTAAAAGAATTAGTATGTAAAATTAAGTTTGCCGCTCACAAAAATACCAAAGGAGATGAAATCAGCCATTAAAATTTTGAACGGTGGAGGTAAATGGCCAGAATTTGGTTTCACACAAATCTCCCCTCTCCTCTTTCGTGCATGGTACTTCTTAAATTATAGAAAAAATTTCAAAACTCAACGGAAATAAATACGAAATTAAAAGCACGTTAAAATTATTTTAGTAGCAATTTTGACTGAGGTATATTTTTGTCTTTGTCAGGCGAGACTTTTGAGTGGCCAATATTATAAATTCTAATTTTTAATGGACAAAATTGATTTCGAAAACTTGCAATATGTTCTCCGTCTCGTCCTTAAAATTTTAATAAGGAAACATATGGGTTGGTGCTTAATTTCTTACTTTATCTCGATAGAAATTTTCACTAGTCCATTTTTTTCTCCGTCAGCCGCTTCAAGTAGTTGTCGATTATTCTTCGTCAAATTGAAAAATAACGAAAGATGAAAGCACAAAAATCAAATCTGATTGTTCACGAAATGATGTGATTTACAGAGAGGCGACACTCTGCCCTGCAAGTTTAGTTACGTCTATTGCCGAGAAAATCACGAAACACTCTGAACGGGTCAGTCGGTCGGAGCCGGTAGATAACATTTTTACAGTGGCGAGGCGTGAATTATTGATTGATTATAGATATTTCCCCATTTGAAGATATGGTAAAGAATCGATTATTAAAGTGTTCGTTGCAAACACCCTGTTTATCGATCTTTTGCCACAGGTTTAAATAGCAGATCGACCGATACATCGCAAAGCACGTGCCACGGCATTGAAGTGGATATGAAGTGCCGACAGTGATAAGACTTTTCAACATAGGTAAATTGTACACTAATCGCTCGTTGAATGTTGATATCAAGAAAAAAGCTAGATAGCGACTTATTGAATCAAAATAACTTGCTTTGACGGGTGTTTTATTTGTTTGGATTCGGAAGCTTCAGAAAGGCCTGGTTCTGTCACCTCTTGACAAGGATTTATTTTCGCCCTGCTAGGCCGCAGCCTCCACGGCCCATGTATAGATCTGAACTTCCTACGGAGCAGGTATGTGTCATGGTATCACACGAAAATGAAAGAAAATCTTAGCTTTTCACATGTCTCATAAAACTAATCTACGTGTATGAACGAGGGCATTATCATCGTTATACATATGCGGAAATCAAGCGTGTAGCTATCCGAACCGTGGAGTAGATATGTGATGTGGTATCACACGAAAATGAAGGAAAATCCCTGCTTTTCACCTGTCTCGAATTGCTGACGTTTATGAATTGAGGCACTCAGGCATTATGCTCGCATCGTTTGATGCGGAAATCAAGCACGCAACTATTCGAATTTCAGCGTAGGTATGTGATGTGGTATCGTGCAAAAATGAAGGAGAATCTGAGCTTGTCGCCGATATTGAATTATTAACGTTTATGAATGTGTGCTTAAAGCTCGTATCGTTAAATTCGGAAATCAAGTGCGCAGATGTTAGTCATAATTCCATCGCAGATGGAATTCATAATATATAGTTTGGTCATTTCTGATCTATTTCGGGGTCTATCACTGGCCTAAACATGGGTCTGAAGGCCGATTTTGGCGAAAAATGCGGGTTTTTCGGCATTCAAAGCACTGTTTCATACCGATCCCTTCGGAGGACAAAAAAGTCCTTCAAGTATGTTCATTAGGAATGTAAGAGAGTCACTTTGGCCAATTTTCGTTGATGTCAAACTTTGCGCTCATAGTTAAAATAACTTTTTAGAATTTTCCTGTTTTTTATCATTATTTAAAATGGCTTAAAAAAGCGACTCATCTTACGCCAGAGTTTAACTTTTTTGGCAATAAATGGACGTGGGTGGTCAAAACCTTCCTCAAAAAACTTTTTTCGATTCAAACCCCCCTAAAAGCCGGTGTTGCCATATTTCATTGCCTGAATTCACGGAAAACCTAGTACTTTAGAATTCGGAGGCTGCGAGTCAAGACAGTCATTTTGCATAGCCGGCTCATTGAAGGCAAATCATTGCCCCAGACTACAGATTACGAATTTTAACAACCTGATACGTGTTTTTTCGGAAGAAAACCTACGGGGTTGCCACACTTGGCATCCAATTAGCCCAGCCTAAGGGGCTGCATGCCGCTGCCCCCTTGGCAGCGAAGGAGCCCGGAGCCCGACCCCTCCGGGGGCTGCCCAACCATACATCCAAGGAACGCAACCCTCGGGGTTCCTCCCTCCCCCTGCTCCTCTAGTCCCCGCCCAAGAACTCCACTCCCTCCCGTTTGCAAAACCGTGCTGCGAAAATATTTAAATAATTTTACAATTTAATGTAAAGAAATTTCTATTACACACTTTTTTACCGGATAACCCACTGCCTAGTGCCTTTATTTAAACTCTCTGAGGACTTGTTCAAACATTGTGAAGAATACAGGCACAAAATCTGTGAGTTTTAGTGCTGCTTAGCTTCCTGTTTAAAACAAAATGTGATGATTGGGACACCACTGATCCGATGTAGTTAGGCTAATTTCAGTTAAATTGGTCAAATGATAGGAGTGTGGGCCGGGAGGGTCTTACTGTATTGACACATTGCAAAGTTTCACCAGACATGTTATGAATCTTTTGATGAACTGGTGTGGATTCTCAAAAGAGAGATTTCCAGATCATTGACGTAAAATCATCATCACGTGACGTGCATAAGGAAACTAACGGTACAAACGTTGCTTCTCGACTAAGATATGGACCGGGTGTAAGGGCTAAAGAGTCAATTGGAATCTTAGTTTCTTGTGAAGAAAATTTTAGCCAAAAATCGCTTGCATGGGAATTTTTTCCTCTAATTTTCCTAGTTTGGCTGGACTACAAGTACGCGGCAAAAATTAAATTGCTGATTTAACAATTCAATTGCTAAACAAGTGACTGCAATTTTTCAACGTAGATTTCACTACAAAAAAAATGTTACTTTAACCATTATTGTAAGCTAATTTAACCACGGGGGTGGTTAAAGTAGCCTCTTTTGTTGTAAAATCTACTTTGAAACACTGCGGTCACTTTTTTTAGCAATTGAATTGTTAAATCAGCGATTTAATTTTTTCCGTGTTAAGTTTAATTTTGTCGAAAAAATGTTTTTGTGCGTAACCTGATCTTGGTTCATTTAAATGATGTTATGCATCCATCGTATTTCACGTTGATTTTTAATAAGGAGACTGCAGTGCTTAATTCAGAACATTGCTTTTTGGTTCATTGATCGTCTATTTTTCTACGCTGGCGTTTAAGTCCGACCATTCAAGACCATCGTCAGAATATGGACTTATATGCTGACGCAGAATTGTCGCAAAACATTCGATAAAAGTAGACAAATGCGTCATAGCTTTCACGATCCACGACGCACTGTGGATCAGGTCAATTAGAGAGGTCGGGCATGAAATTTTTGATTAAAAATGCAAATTTTGATGTTTAATTCGTCAACTTTTAAATTTAAAGAGGTATTTCTAGAAGATAATTGCACGAGGAAACCAATGGCACGACTTTTAGAGCCTTACAATTTTGTATACACGGAGTTATAAGCTTTTAAAGTTTCCAAATTTTGTCCGACCTCTCCCATTGACTCGAACCACTGTGCGACGCAACATGTAACAAGTCTTTGGTTGAAAAGGGACGCCTTATTTTTTATTTTGTCAAAATTCCGAAGTTCGGTATTTATGTTACAAAACTGTAAATTTTAAGGGATGCTTCCAAAAGCTAATTTTAAGATGATACAAATGGAACCACTTTTAAAATGTCATAAAAGTTTCATATTTGCGCATTTAAGCTTTTTTAAATTTTCAAAATCATGTCCAACCACTCCCCTTGACTCGATCCACCTCACGGCGCGGCGCACAATGGAACGAGACAATGGGAGAGGTCGGACAAAATGTGGAAACTTTAAACGCTTATAACTCCATTTACACTCAACTTTGAGTTTCTAAATGTGATTTCACTGGTTTCCTCGTGACATTTTCTTTTAGAGGCACCCCTTAAAAATTGAAATGTGACGAAATTAACATCAAAATTTGCAGTTTTATTAAAAAATGTCATGTCCGACCTCTCTATTTGAATCGATCCACTGTGCGGCGCTTTCAATGAGTGAGCTGCATGCAGGTTGGCGGGCTCAGAGCAGATTGCAGGAAAAAGTAACAATGAAAAAGTATGGCGATTGTCTAAAACAATGATTTATTAACTTAAATCAACTACTATAAAGACATTAACCTCATACGGAGGCATAACAATAATGGTTACAATCACAAACATTTCGGTATGGTAAATTATTACCTTTTTCTGCATCGATTTATAATTCATTGGTTGGTTTTTTGCGGGAAATTCAAATACCTAAAATGCGTCCGATCGGTAATAGCTATTTTAACAAAATAGAAGCTCATAAAAATCAATGTTCCCTGAAAGAGGGTACATTGCAAAATCCTCGAAAAATTTTTCAGGGCATGTTACGTGTATTGCAGGTGTGTTTGAGAGGAATGCACTGCTGGCCTACAGGCCGATTGTTGAGTCGTTATCCAACGAACTCGATCGATAACTCCCTATCTTCACAATGCTATACATCGATCAAGGTCATTCGATAACTCCCTATCTTCACAATGCTATATATCGATCAAGATCATTCGATATCGATTCACCAATCGAACCGGTGATCACAAGACCTCGAGGACTAACTTTACGGTAAGATTCCAATCGTGCGCTCGGGTTCATGAAATGGAAAAAAAGAGCTAAAAATTAGGTCAAAAAACATTACTTTTAAAAAATTAAAATCATATTCGATGATTAAAACATTCCTCTGAGCTGGAACACGCCTGTTTTGGAATCATCTTACTTGGAAGTAAATGTACGGGAAAATGTAGACAATAAACATCTGTTTAAAAACGTGCGTTAATTTTAATGAAACGGTTAGACATTCCTATCTCCTGCGTGCTGCCGTGCTAAGGAAGAACGCCGTATGAACATTCGAGAGTTGCCAAATTTCTTTCGATGAAATTTTTATTTTTGAGGAAAATTTTGAATATTTTTCCTTGAAATTCTCAGAAGTTTTAGATCAAATCACAAACGAAATTATCGGAGAAATCGTTAGGCAAATATCCAAAAATATTCCTGAAAATTAGTGATTTGCCAGGGGAAATTTGGCAACGCCTGAAGGCTCATACGGCGTTTTTCCTTAGCACGGCACTATGAATCGCCTCTTGCGTTGGTGGGTATCGGTGCTTGTCGATATATCTTTATAGCTGAGGGAAGTTCACCTACGACAAGAAACACAAAAAGTAAGAAGAGTTCAACTTCCAATCAGTGAGTTTAAATTTCCAGGGTGCATTTGACACTAGAACAGGTTAAATTTTAGCTGTATCTCTCAAAATTAGTCCTTACGCGCCAATGTCAGTAGACTTTATGACTTCATAACCGCACAAATGTTCCTAGATCCGCTAACAATAACATGCAGGATATATAGTTAAGAGTTATTCTTTACTTCCATTACTATGGACATTGGATAAAGTTATAACTGAAGCACTCCGTAGCATGTCTTCTCCTCAAAATTGGACGTATTTCTGCCAAACGGAACTATGT